CACATGTATAACATTAATTACAAAATTACTAGATATATAAAAAATAATTAATTTAAGCATGCAATTAACTAATGTCATGATCGTTCCTTTATTATATCATTTTAATTTAAAAACAAAATTACCTTTTGAAATGCCAGATATAATAAAGCCCGTGCATCGCACAGGGACTGTCCTAGTTAATATGTAAAACACTTAAGCTAATTTATTAAAAAATGTTATATAAAATTTGAATTGTGCAAAATTACATAAAGATGTCTAATTAATTTTAATACACAACTCGTGCGGTGGACGTAACCAGTGTTTTTCAACCCGGACCGGCCCGGCGGGTTGACCCGGTCGACCAGGAGTCGGAATCGGTCCGGGTGGGCTATTTGGACCTGGCAAGAAAGGACCTGGTCAAACCCGGTCAAAACTCGACCTTGACCCGGTCGACCAAGGGCATTGACCCGGTCCTATATTTTTTTTTGTTTTTTAATTTTTTTATATAAAAAAACTATGTATATATATTTATATGGAAAATATTTGTCATGAAATAAATTTTATTACTATTTTAATCTACAAATTTTACATACAAAACATTTAATTTGTTAATTTATGTATATTTATATAACAAAATATTTTATATATAATTTTAAAAATTTTAAAATTAATTATCCGATTCAGCAATTGGTCCGGTGGTAACACAAAACTCTCCCATCGACTAGAATCCGAGTAATCGCCTTCCTTATCGCGGCTGAACGCCGTGCACCTACAAAGAACTCTAACACCGGAGCGTTTTTCCGGTGAAGAGCCTCCTTAAGTCAGTGTTTGCTCAATCAATTCTCAATAGTAAAAAGTGTACTGATCGTGTTAAGCAAGAAAGGCTTACCCCCATACATATGGGGGTAAGATACCTGCCCTAGGAGCTGCCTGGATTTGCTGAGTTGCCTGCCCATGTCTGCCCGTCCGTACACACACAGTGTGCGAGTATCAGGGTAACCGTCGCCACTATCATCTGCACCAATATCTTTGCGCCACGTGTCCTTCGCACATAGAGTAAATATTCCCTCACGATTTTGCTGACGTCTTACTGACAAGTCTGAAATTCTATTAGAGGCTATCATATTTGACCTTATTTGAGTCAACTCACTAGGTTGTGTTCTATTCTTAACGAGCTCGACCATCCGGTTATTCTCAGGTTGCCTTCGACCAATGTTGTAACCTTTTCAGATGGCCTTCTGCTCGATCTCCTCGAGCATCGGCCAGCTCTTCCCCATCACTCACACTTAGGTCCCCGTCACATTTTCCTTGATGATACTGGGTTCTATCTTCTTGACTCGATATTATGACCAAACGTGGCCCTCCTCCGCCCCGATCCACTTAACCAGTTCAAGAAGTCGGTTTATTCATATAGAGATAATATTCCATATCACCCGGTGACCCAGTGACCTGTCCGAGTAGATTATCGGGTCGGGTTTAAAAACTATGCACGTAGCTAATAATAAATTACATTACATTTATTTCAAAATAAGTGTCATTTTTTTTATTTAAAAAATTGATTTAAATAAAAACTATGCACGTAGCTTTTTATGGGGAAGAGCATCGGCCAGCTCTTCCCCATCACTCACACTTAGGTCCCCGTCACATTCTCCTTGATGATACTGGGTTCTATCTTCTTGACTCGATATTATGACCAAACGTGGCCCTCCTCCGCCCCGATCCACTTAACCAGTTCAAGAAGTCGGTTTATTCATATAGAGATAATATTCCATATCACCCGGTGACCCAGTGACCTGTCCGAGTAGATTATCGGGTCGGGTTTAAAAACTATGCACGTAGCTAATAATAAATTACATTACATTTATTTCAAAATAAGTGTCATTTTTTTTATTTAAAAAATTGATTTAACTATAATGCCATTCATAAAATAAATATTTTTGTAAAATTTTATAAACTCAAGTATCTTAACTACAAATTTAACAAAAGCACAAAGTTTCTTTGTGTCAGAGAGATAAAAGAAAGTCGGGTACAAATAGAAGTGTATATTTATAAAATAATATTTATAAATAAAAGATACTTAATTTATAAGTATTATTTAGGAAAAATTACACTTAATCCACCTAACTATTGGATTTTTTGCACTTTACATACCCAATTTTTTTTTGGTGACACTTGCCCATATAACTTTGCAAACAATTGCACTTCACCAATTTTCAGTAATCGTCGAAAATTATAAGGGCAAAAGTAACTTTTTAGTCATTCATTAAGTTAAATTGTCAATTGAAAAATTTAGGGGTGATTGGATATGAATTCAACTAGTAAAAAACTCGTTTTTTTTAACTATAATTAAGTTTGAAAAAAAGTAGTATGTTTAGTTGTTAGTGGATATATTAAAATAATATTTTAATTAAAATAATTAAAGTTGGTTTGATGTAAAAGTATGAGAAAATGATTGGAAGTGATAGTTAGTTAAAATTATGTGAGTGGATGAATATTGAATTAAAGTTGATGTGATGTGTAATAATGATTGGTTGATATTATTTAATTATATTGATAATATTGGAGATAGTGGAGTTGAGTTAAATTTAAGTTTTGAGTGAGATATTTACTGTAAAATTCATAAACAATCACGCCACCCAGCATCTATACGTTTTTTTTTTTCACTTTGTCAACTCATTTTTTTTTTTTATTTACACTTTACCCTTAGAAATGGCTGGACGATAACTGGAAATTGGGTAAATGTAATTATTTAGAATGTTATATGGTAAAGTGTCACGAAAAAAGTTGAATGGATAAAAGTGTAAAAAAACTTTATAGTTAAATGGATTAAGTGTAGTTTTTCCGATATTAATTAATACTATATTTTACTCATGAGTTGTAAAAGATAGAGAAGTCTCGTGTTGGAGTTGGAGTATTGAATGAGAGCGGGTGGAGGCGCACGTGCAGGCTAACGTGGAAGACCTTGTCGTTTATAAGAAACCACAAAACACCTCTCATGTTCTCGTGTCACCTTTTTCCTTTATCCCCTTTGGCCATTACTGATACCACCCTCGACTCAAACCTCTGTACTTTTCTCTCGTCGGCTTTATTTTTTTTGCAATCGCCGGGC